CGATTTGGATGAAAACTGGCAGAGTTGTAGCTTGAAACCCAGGAACGGACATAGGGTAGGTGACATCATGTTAAATTCATAATTTTTGATTACAGATAAGAATTAAATAATTAACAAGCGACTTGCGATGAAGATTACTACTTCATTTTTCAATCAACTGTCACGTGATCCTTAAGGAATGCGTGAACAAAATGAAATGTCACGTGATCCTTCAGAAAAGCGCAAGAATTTGAAATGACTTATTTTTAAAGTCAAGCATCACTTGATCTTGCTGAGAAAAGAAATAAATAATTAATTTGTGGAATAATAACTGAAAAATAGACGCCGGGACAGAAAACTAATGACAGATATGATATAGTTTCAAGAGTTTTTGGATTAAAATTTAAAAACTAAAGTTAATTATAACTAAAGGAAAATATCGCTCAATGTTTACTTAAAATAAGAGCCTAATTTAGTGGAAAGGTTGCCAAAATAATTCTTTATCGCACTTTTTATCGACATCCAAGATTTGCTTGGCTGTTAAATTTGTAACCAAACGATTTGGATAATCACTGGTGGTTAAATTCTGAACCAAACGATTTAGCTAATTACAATAGTTCCATTTCGCATTTTAATGCTTTAAGAGCTTTTTTCAACCGATTTAAAAAGAAAGGATTGCATAAACCCAATGAACACGGAATTCAACATTTTGTTTACTAAAGAAAGAACTGATTCGAACTTGGCGCTCGATACAGTTGCCAAATAGATTTGGCGTTTGCTAGAGATTCAAACAGTGTATTAAATTGGGACTTTTTCAAAATTTTTCACAGTACTGAGGAACTGATAAGCAAAGTTTATCCTTCCCTACAAGCTAATAAGAGGAATAGAGATTGTTTGTTGATTGGGTAATTTTGGTACTGACTAATGAAAGTTTAGGTCAGATAAATGAAAAAAAATTCTTCACAAATGGAGGGATGTATTACAGAATATCTATCCGTAGATACGGTAATGGGCAATAACAAGTAAAATCATATCCTGCAGAGTTACCACATAGAATTGTCAGGGATACCTTCCGACAAGCTGAGATCAAAATTCAGTGTGCCAGAACTATTCATACGTAACCTCGATGTACCGAGACTGCGCAATGGCACACGGTTTCAATTTACACACTTAGGACCAAAAGTCGTGCTAGCTACTGATATAACTGGCATAACGAGAGGTGAGAGTGCTAAATTCTAAGCATTCCGATAATAACGAAGGATTTACCATACCAGTTCAAAAGGTAACAATTCCCTATAAAATCAGCATTTGCCAGGCTCAGAGTCAGATACTCAAAGGGGCAGGCGTACATTTGGAAAAGTCATATTTTTCCGTTGGTAACTATATGTGGCATGTTCGCGTGTGTCCATCCCACTAAACCTATACATCGGTGCAAAAAACGTGAAACAAAAAACGTTGAATACAAAAGTGTTTTATCATATATAAACAATTTGCCTAACTGTAACAGCAGACACATATACATTACACTCCTGTTAGTCGTCCAATTATGTATTATCAACCATCAAAACTTTTAATTTCCCCTTTCTACATATAACGAAACATTTACATTCGTGAATTTAAAAAAAATAACAATTCCAATTCTTCGCTCACGAAGTCGCGGGTAACAGCTAGTACAATCAATAAAGATTAAACACCCAAATTTGGACTGTAGCTTTTAACTCATTTAATCGTAGGATTTCGATTTTAAATTATTTAATCACAATTCTTCTTTAAACCTTTTATTGACTGTATAATCGTACTTTTTCATATTTTCAAAAGTTTAACTTTTATTTTAAATATGTTTTAAGTTTTTTTATTATTTCAGTCGTAGGATGTAGTAAATTCCAAATATGTTTTCAAAGAGAAAAATGATGTTTAATTACTTTTTTAGAGCAGAGAAGGTTTTGTTTATAGGATTATAAGCATCATATATGATTATGATGCACATCAGGAAAGTAGAAAACATTAATGCTGATGTTGTTGTTAATGTTAATCCATACCATTCCAGAAGAGCTAAACCGGCACCAAGTGGTTATAACTCAAAAAAATAAAATAATAATACAGTCATTTTTCAAATCCTCGTCGACAGTAAAATCTAAGCGAGCCAGAATGTTTGTGTTAATTGCAGTAATTTTCACCTTTTAAGAGACAAGTTTAATATTTTACTAGACATAGTTCAGGATAAATTTAAAATAGTAACAAATTTCTACAGTTAAATTCCACTCGAAACCACTGAAATTCAAGCGACATTAAAATGATACATCTTTTGCTCTCGAAAGTTCTTATTATGTATTATTCGGAGACTTTTCATATATTAAATTAGGTATTTTTCCTCTTGAAATCTGTATCTTGTTCGATGATCTAACTCTATTACGCCGTGTTGCATATAATGATTCAACTGCATATTTTATAGCAAGTCATATTTTGCTGAAGAACAGAAGCATGGTAAGTTTTTTATTCCACACTGAACCACATAGATTGTAGATTATTCGAACTAAGAACAGTAAATTATCCTGTGTATAGTTTGATGTTGTCAAACAGTGTCGATTAATCGGACTAATTAGATTTTAACTCTACTCCATCCATTTTCCGATGTTGCTTGACAAGAGCACCAATTATCGGAATTAATTAGAATTTGATCGCATCAGCACCATCACATACTTATATTTCGAAGTTTTATTGAAAACTAAACCCACATGTGACTCAAACTATTAATTCTGCCAGGAAACCCTAACTCAGCCTACTATATGGGAATTACAGAAGCGGTGTCGAGGTGCTGTGTCTTAGTTGGTTATACCGCCTGTCTAGTAAACAGGACATCGTGAGTTCGAATATCGCCTGTGCCTGTGGGTCGTTATTTTTAACGATATAATATTTTAATGTGGACATACTATCTAAGAGATGGCAAGTTTGAATATCGACGGTGCCTGCGTATCTCTACTTTTAACGAGATAAATTTCTAAGTTAGACATACTATATAGGAATTAGAGACGAGGTGTCGAGGCGCCGTGTCTTAGTCGGTGCGCCTGTCTAGTAAACAGGAGATCTCGAGTTCGAATCTCGCCTGTGACTGTGCGCCGTTATTTTTAACGAGATAATATTTGAATGTGGACAAACTATCTAAGAGAACGCAAGTTAGAATATCGACGGTGCCTGTGTATCGCTATTTTCAACGATATAATATTTTAATGTGGACACACTATCTGTGAATTCGGGAGGAAGTCGCGAGGCTCCATGGCTTAGTTGGTTAAAGAGCCTGTCTAGTAAACAGGAGATCGCGAGTTCGAATCTCGCCGGTGCCTATGGGTCGTTATTTTTTAAAGAGATATTGTTTTAAGGTGGACATACTGTCGAAGAGATCGCAAGTTCGAATCTCGCCGGTGCCTGTGTGTCGCTATTTTTAACTAAATAATGTTTTCATATGGACAGAACGCCGCCCTGTGCCCCTGTCGTCAACTCAAAGAGAAGATCTCTACCTCCAGATTGCCCGAAGCTTTCACAACGTAAGTTCATTCTGGAGAAAGACGGATGGAAAACGGTGCCAATGAGAAAGTCTCCTCCTCCAAAGCCAAAAGTGGAGTCAAAAATTGAGGTGCCTCTGCCCATCTCCTTTGTTCGCCCAAGCGATTCCAAGCCAAAACTACTTTCTGTCGTTGTAAAGCCTGACCCCACGCTGGAGTCTTCCAGGAAATCTGATGCTCCTGCCCTTCCCACGAACAACTCCAAGCCTGCAACTAGACAAGCTCCGACTGACAGTGGAAAGCCTGTGAAAGCTAAAGTGGTTTCCCCGCCCTCCGGATCAAGCCAGCAACCCTCCACGAGTATTGCTCCACCATCCGCTGAACTCGTTACGAAACCTCCATGTAGACAACCTGCTGCAATTATTACTGACGGGTCGCTCAGGTGTCAATTCTGCGAACTCCAGCTCCCGAACCGAAAGGCCTTGAGAGTTCACCTCATACAAGTTCACAAGCTACAAGAACAACGGAGGGAACGCCAATCTTCTCCCACGCCTGAACTCAACAGCGCTCCAACTTCCCCGGACATGGACTCGACCACCCCACGTTATGACACTTATGACTTCTCCACCCACAAGTCCTGCCATTCCTGCTTCACGGCCCACCATGGTGGTGGACACCTCTGGGCGTATCGTTCCCCAATCGGATGGTAGCCAGAGGCACGAAGTAAGTGCGTCAAATTCACCGACTACTGACCCACAGGACACTAATGATTCCTTCCCCGTTTCAGCTGTGTGTCCCAACGACAACTGTAGGAAGGAGACCGACCTACACATCCTGTTCCCGATCAATGAAAAGTTAGTCTGTACTGAAGAAGGCTGTTCCACGCCCTTCAAGACCAATGACTGGCACTCGACAAAGAACTCCCTCACTCGACATCTGCGTACGAAACACCGTATTCTGATTAAGAGATCGGTCTACTGGTGTTTCATCTGCCAGGCTAGAATATTTCGCCATCCTGCTGAGCATGAGTGCCTCCAAGATTGCATTGTTGCGACAGATCAAAGCTCTGGTTCGTTCCGCTGCGACATCTGCAATTTCGACTGCCCCACACAGCTTGGGCTCAACAACCATAAAAAGATGCACCGCAGGAAAGATGCCGAGGAATCAATGCCAAAACGAAGTATTCCACGCCCAAAGAAGAGACGTCGGAATAATAAGAGACGATCAAGACAGCAGAGCCCAGAAGCTAACCCCTCCGGAGATGAGGGAGCGATAGATGATCCATGAATCTCACTTGCTGCTCCCGTTATTCAAAATACGCTTCCCCCGACGCCTCCGGCTGAAAGGGAAGACCGGTCACTGCTGGCGCACATTTTGAGTGAGCTCAACTCGCTTAGCGTGGATGACGCTTCGGAAGATAACTTCCTGTCATTCTGCATACTGGTGGAGCAAGCAGTTCAAGAGGCTCAGCGACACCTGTTTGAAAGAGACGATGAAGCCCGACCTGCGCATCCCAGAGAAAGGCAAAATCGACCTGATCCAGATCCGAGAGACCCTGCCTTCATTCAACGGCTGTACACCCGTAACCCCAAAAGAGCTGTACGAATGATTACAGGAGATGACGGCGCTCGCTGCAACTTGGAAACTGAGACGCTTTTCAACTTCTTCTCTGGTGCCTGGGGACCAGCCTCCTCCGACCCCTCGTTCTACGAAGAAACCCAGGAGACCAGGACTGGGGTCCTCGACCGTGACTTTTCCGTTGCTGAAGTTGTCAAGAAACTTAGAAACGCCGACAACTCCGCTGCCGGTCCAGACCGTCTCACGTACCACCATTGGCGCACGGTCGACCCTGCCGGAAAAACTTTGACAAAGATCTTCAACCTCTGTCTCCTCTTTCGACGCATTCCACCATCCTGGAAAGAGACGAAGACAATTCTGATCCCGAAGAAAAATGTTGACCTTGCTCTTCCTGCTAACTGGCGCCCTATTGCACTGTCCAACACGATCTACAAACTGTTCACCAAGTGTATTACTGGTCGCCTCACGAGCTGGTGTGAAAGGTACCACGCTATTTCTACAAACCAGAAGGGCTTCATGCCCCACGACGGAGCATAACTTCACGCTTCAAGAAAGATTCAACGACGCCCGTGACAACAAGAGAGATTTCTGTGCAGCCTGGCTGGATGTGTCTAATGCCTTTGGTTCTTTACCGCATTGCGCCATTCAGAATGCCCTCCAGGCAACTCGGGTCGGGGATGCCCTTTGCTCTTTGGTTGCAGACATGTATTCCGGTTGTACGACGAGGATTTTATCTAATGACTCGTGCACCAACCCCATTCCCATCTTGAGTGGGGTGAAACAGGGCTACCCACTGAGCGGCATCCTTTTCAACCTGTCGATTGACCCAGCACTCCGGAGAATTCCACTCAGCATACCGTATTGGCCTTCGCCGACGACCTAGCTCTGCTCGCCAACAGCCCACAAGAACTCCAGACCAACTTGGATCGTATCTACAGTGACCTTGCTCGGATTAGTCTTAGAGTGAACCCCTCGAAATCGGTTGCCCTTCACATCGGAGGAAGTGTTCCGGTCGGAGCTAGGGAGACCAGCTTTTCAATTGGTGGTACTCCGCTGACCGTGCTCACTGAATTCGATCGGCATCGATTCCTGGGCAAACCAGTGGGCTTTAGCGTCCTTCCTGACTATGCTTCTCTGGAGACAATGGTCTTGAAGGGTAACAAACTGATTGAGTCCGCGCTTGCACCGTGGCAAATCATGGAGGCATTGAAAAAATTCTACTTTGCATCCCTCCAGTTTGCCATGCGCACGGCACAGTTTGGGAAGTCGGACTGGAACGAAGTCGACAGACAGATCCGGCCTGGTATCAAGAGCACCCTGTCACTACCAGAAAATGCAGCAAACGAGTTTCTTTACGGAAGCCGCTCCCTTGGATGTTGGGGCGTGCCTATTGCTGCCGAAGAGTTTGACCTCAACATTATTGACACTGCCTTCAAGCTTCTGACTTCGCCTGACGAAAGCGTTGCCGCTCATGCACTTGAACAACTTAAAGACTCGGCAAGGCACAGATTTCGTGAGGAACCGACGGACGAAATTCTTAGCACCTAAATATCTGGAGAAGAAACGGATCCCAGCCTCCCCAGAGGGGGTCGCACAGAAAATCATTGGTCTATCGCTCGTGCCGCCTCTCGACGGATGGAAGTCAGTTGGAGCTTTGAAGATGGCATCCCACGTTTACACTACCAGGACATCACGCTTCGCCCTGCTCACAGACGTAAAGTTCTCTTCTCCATCCGAGACCGCCTGCGTACTGACAGGACCGCCACCCTGATTTTGACCAAAAAACACCAAGGAAAGGTTATGGACTGCGTCTCTTTTCATCCTGCCAGCAGCCATTTCTACACTACTGGTGATTTCACTCGTTTCTGTGACTTCCGCTTCTCCCAGAAATGCCGCTTGGGTGTTGCACTTGACCACAATGGCTACAAGACCTGGAAGCCTCCCCAAGAGCA